AATTATTAAAGTATATAAAATATATATTCGACAGCTAATGAACGTGTAATAAATCGTTTAACGATGCATATTTATGTGTGAAGTATTTAACCCTTGGTCGCGTGTAGCGCCAGATACACGATATTAATTTATTATGCTGCACGTTCTGCCAGCTAATTGACTAATATTGATCGCTGCGATTATGCGCGACGCATATGACATTTTCCCGGGAGGCGTGAGAGCAACGACATTCGCGAGACAGCTCGCGCGATCGTTAATATCGAGAATCGTTGTATAACGATCATCGTGTGCCGCGCATCATTATAAATTTGTCGCGCTAAATCATCCGTGATAGGCTTCGTGCGAGTGCGCTCGTTGCTTAGACGTTAAAAATTAATTTAACCGAGAGAGAGAGAGAGAGAGAAAGAGAGAGAGAGAGTAAGAGCAACACAGGGTCGTGAGGGAAGGGCAAGAAAATTCTCGGGTTCATACGCGGCCATTAATCACCGTGGCGAATAATTTCGCTACGCTTTGTGCTAAAGCAAATATCTCACGATTTGATTTACGCTTTACGAGCGCGATTTATTTTGCGATTCTCGTCCGATACTCTCGTCATTATCCCCGAACAAGCAAGAAGTGTCGAGAATCTAACGCTCGGCCATGGCCGTGGAGGAGAGCGAGTCCCGCTAATTGGACATGTTATCGTCGCTTTATGATCTCGCGCGACCGGGAAAAGCGCATTTCCGTTTCGCGGCCAGGCGATACTTGCTCTCGCAAAACGGCGCTAACGAGCGCGCCGGCAAAGTACTCCGACGGACAGGCGCTCAGGCACGGGAGACATCGATGCCCGGGCAAGCGCGAAGATGCATAATCGGCACGTCGAAAGTTTTTAGGTCAGTTTTGGAATAAACGTGTATTTCCAGGGGCAAACGTCGACTATAATGGCAGATTGATCGACTCTTTCGGTCATTTTGCGACGGAACGTTTCCCGACGGGGGGACTCGTGACTCTCTGACTTGGACGCACGGCGAGAAAGCACTTTCTTTTGACTTTCCAACTTTCGAGCGTTTAAGTGTCGGCTTTTCGATTGATCGCTAACTGACCGTTTGAATATCGTGTATCGGTTTCCTGAACACAGAAATTCGGGGAAAAAAAAGGAAAAGGCAAACCCTACAGGAATAATTTCGGGACACGGCACGGTTGGAGATGTGAAATATGACGAGGAGCCACTCGAACGTTTGACTTTCTAAATTTTGAACAATTAAGACACGGTGTGTTTCCATCATTTGCGACTGACCATTGAAAACAGACGGTCGGGTTTTCAAAGTGAATAGAAAAAAAGAAGAGACCGTTGTATTCTCTCGATTTTCGGCTAAACGGTGCGGTTTGTGTCAAAAGCACAGCGTGCGACAGTGTCGGAGGTGTAACACTGAGAAGCCGGGAGAAGGTAAGAAAAAGTCGGCCGCTGCGATCTTGTGGCAATATTTGTACGAGTGAAAAATGCCGCGTCGGTGATAGATTCGGCGCCGGTCCAACGTTCGTCTAGCGGCGTGCCGATAAAGAGACAGGGCCTCTTTTGCGAAACCCGGGTAAACAAGAGGCAAGGAAGGAGTCCGGCTTTTCGATATCTCCACCTTGGCCGCTAGTTTACGAGCGGCGGCGACCGGCGCAGCGTGACGCGACTCTCGATAGATGCCTGGAAGAGGGACTCGGCCGACAGAACCAAGACAATTCCTCTTTTCTCCGAAAATAATTCATGCACGTTATTCCGATTCGAGTCTCTTTCCTTTGCCAACGGGTTTCGGTTTCGGATTTCTCATTCATGAGCACGTAGGCGATAATAATAATTTAGCTGACCGAAATACGTTTCAAGGCTTCCGATTATTAATGGACCATTACGTAACATTTGTTCACATTTCTCCGTGACATTTCACGCTACCGTTAACAGAAGAAAGGAGAAGAAAGCGCGGAATTGTGCGCTTTTGTGACAAACTTTTAGAAATGTATTGTATTGTTCCGACGGTTTCTTCGGCGCGAGCGATCCGTTTACGTGGACGTAGGTGCATTCGTTGGCGGATGCTACGTAGATATCGCGTGCGCGCGTCTGATACTTTCTCAACGATCTCGGAAAAAATTCAGGTTTTGTTCGTCTCTAAGCGCAGCGTGAGCGGCGCCGAAGCCGCCTTTTGTGCGACGCGACGACGTCGACTTACAAATTGGAATACAACGGACGCGGAGTTAGGAGAATCGTTTCACGCTTCGCGGGGGCGCCAAGTGGAAGGCAAACACCGATAAAAAATGCATGAATAAAGCACTAATGGAGGCTCCATGGAAGAGGAATAAACCTCGAGCTACGGCGCAGCTCGTGAACGACCAAGAGAAAGAGAGAGAGAGAGAGAGAGAGAGACGGTGCGCGTTTACCGAAGGCGATGACGGGCGAGCCGCGTGTTCCTCTCTCTCACTGTCGATCAGAGCGGCGGGAAAAAAGAGCGGAGAAAGGGACTCGAGCGAAAAATGATTTTTCCGTTTTAACTGAAAATACAGCGCAAATTTTCGTCGACTTAATTAACCAGCGAGAAAGCGCGATTAGAGACATTAAAACTACCTTTGTAGCAGAAAAGAAAGATCGCAAATTAAGCTCCCCGTAGGAAATTTCCGAAACATTCCCGAGTACAGCATAGATCGTGATCCGATTACTCAAACTTATCGCAAATAAGTGTGACATACTGCGATGTCAATTAGGAATCTCATTCTTATCCAAATTATAAGGAAACTTGAGCAAAATATTGGGCAGAGTAAGTGGAATCTGTTTGGGTCCCCCATTGAGAAAACAAACTTTATTTGGTTGGTTAATCGGAACAGATCCCATAAAATTGTCTACATGTGAAACCAGATAGATCACATTTTTTTTGCCTGATAGCTTCTCAGATACTTTGTTCAACATAAATATAAAGTAGAAATTTAAAAAGAGAGAACTTTAAGTAAATGTTGGGCAAAGAAAATGGAATCTATCTGAGTTTCCCACTCGGAATCGCGCTTTTGAAACATTACACCTCTAATTCGAATCTTCATACATTTCCCAGTCAGAATCTACCATTTTTTTGGGGGGGAAAATCGGAATAGATCGCAATAAGATCCCAGAAAATTGTCCGTGCGGGTCGTCCGCTACATTTTAATTTTCCAGAACGAAGCGATGCTTCCTCCCGCAATTTTCGCCCGTATTAAAAACCCGAATCATTTCACGGTTGCTGAGACAAGCATCCGATCTTGTTTTTCCAGATTTCTTCGGGAGTACTCAACAGCGGCGTCGTGCTCGAGATCGTTAACTCTGTTTAGCTGTTAATTACAATATGTCCCCTTCCGCCGTGTCTCGCGCATGTTGCCGGAGAGGAAATCAGCTCCAGCTCCTGATGGCTTCGAGAGGGACGCGCGCGAGATCGCTGGTTAAGAACGACGAGGGAACAACGCGACGTTGTCAAGGTAAGAGCGTCGTATATCAACTATCGATCTCGTCCGCGGGCCCGAAGCTACCGCGATCACCGGCCGCTTATCACGCGGATAGCGTTTCGCGTGAATCACCCGCCGACGTTTTAACGACGTGCAGCAGCAGTCTGTCATTTGCCAGCCCGAGGTACGGTGACACGCATTAAAATAATAACACGCGTTACCGCGTTTAGCCGCGCGCGACATCCGTGCGGAGAGAGAAAGACAGGCAGAGAGAAAGAGAGAGAGAGAGAGAGAGAGAAAGAGAGAGAGCAGCTCGGTCGACGCGCTGGAAATTACCCCATCGTCGAGCCAGCTCCGTAAACACTATTACGGAGAGGCAGCTCGTGAAATCACGCGCGTGTAATCTTCCTTTTCTCCGTGAGAAGTAGCGAGATCAAAAGTTATACGTCGAAAACGCTATAATTCGCCTTGGCGCATTAAATCGCGCTCGCTGTTGATTTATTTAATACGACAGTAATGACGCGCACGCGTGATTTGCATTCCCGATCGACTTTCTTCATCCAACGCAAGGACGCGTCGTCCTCGGTGACGATCCGCGGTTTCGCCCTTTTCCGGCCGATCTCCATCTCGGATTTCGCGATGCACAGGGAAACGACGCGTGTACTTACTTCCCGGTCTGTGTCGCTCGGCTGTGAATCATCGCGCCTATTACCGGCGTCGGTAATTGCAAAAGGTCATCGCGGTCCCTCTCTCGCGTCGGGATTTCGCTGCCGGCGGCCTTCGAGGCGCGCCAGACGAAGCGCGAGCGAGGAGAAACCCGACGAGCCCGACGATAACGTCGCGTCCGATCGTCGCTTTAATTAATTAATATGAGACGAAAGGCGCGCGCGATCGATCGGCCGCGTAATATCGTCCGTTAAAAAAGCGTGTCGTCCGGTGATAGGATGATTCACCGCGGCGCGCCAAAGACGGCGGTCTTTATCGCGCGGCATTGTACTTGCGCGTTATCATCGGTGACATCGCAGCTGCGGGAGCACCCTCGCAACGACGAACGAGTCGAATTGCGAGTGAATTCGATCGGCGTCACTCGAGACGATATACACGCGAGAGAGGCGCGCGATCTCGCCTCTCTCGCTTAGAGAAAAATACGGGGCTATTAATAACCGTGGCCGTGGTGGAGTTATCGCCGGTGTGTGCGCTCGATTTCGCTGACAACCGCGACGCTGACTCGGCGAGCACTCGGCTGCCGGTGGGTAGCCAGGTGCCGTTTTCCGAGGACACCCAACACCATCGGCGACCGACGCCGTGATATATCGGGGAAGACTCGGGGGAGGCGAGCGAGCGAAGGCGCGACGCTTCGACGGCCCGTAAGTCGGTGACGCAAGCTCGCGAGGCTCGATAAACAAACTAAACAGTGTTTACGACGCGATCGGGGAGAGAAGAAGAAGAGATCGCTCGTGATTTACGGCGTGTGAATCATCCGGGTAAGCATACGACGTCCGACGCACGCACTTCGTCCGGAGGGAATGGCGGAAGAGAGGAGAAGAAGAGAGCGCGTTGAGCGATTCAGTCACCTGTGTCATGAGCCGATCGGCGCCGGTGCCCTCCTCGTCCTTGAAGATGATGTCCTGATTGTAATTGGGCACCAGGTCCCGGAACTTGGAGTCGCCTCTGGATACGCGTCCCTCGCTGAGCCCGCTCGCCGGCAGCGTGTTCTCGCTAACGTTCGGCACATGCTGCTTGAACACCAGAGGCGTCAGCTTCCTCTGGTTCGACCGTCGGCCGCCGCCTCTGCCGGGTCCGCACGCCAGGGCGAGACCGCCGCTGTTGTCGAGCACGGGCAGCCAAAGGCTGAGGATCAGCAGCAGTATCTGGAGGAGCGAGCCGCACGTGCTCACGCGACTTCCGACGATGCAGCAGCGGTGGCTCGCTTGGAGGCCGTGGCGACGATGATGATGGTGCACCATAATCGCGTGCCTCTGCGCCGAGATCTACCCTGCGCGGCGGTCACTGCTCCCGCCGTCTCCAGAACGGCTGTCGGAACGACAACGACGACGGCGGCGACGACGACGACGTTGACGATGACGGGGGTAACAATCCGGACGACGTTGTACTACCGATCCTTCTTCTCCGCCACTTGCGACTGACCTCACTCACGCTTAACCATAACCGGGGCATCACACACCCCCCCGTGCACGCACTCTTACCACCGATGCGATCCCCGTAGTTGCGTAGTCGGCGATAATTACCGCGCGCGACCGATCACCAGCCGACGGGACGACGTTTTTTCACGACGAGAGGTCGAGAGACGGGAGGACTCGGGAGGCGGGTAGGAGCGAGATGTGACAGACGGCCGATCGATCGATCGATCGGCGAACTGACGTCGGAGGACGCTGAGGACCTCCTCCGGGAGGATCGGAGAAAGGCGGTGTCGTCTTCCCTCGCTGATAATCGGTAAAGGAGCGATGGTGCGGAGGCTACGACGAGTGTCATCAGTGTGTCGTGTTAATGAGTCGGGGGGAGGATCCACGATGAGGATGACGAATCTCTCTCTCTCGATATCTCTCTACATTCTAGACGGAGGGGAGGGGGGGGATTCGAGCCCTTTAAATTCGCAATCCTGCACGTGCCAAACAACACCGGGCCAGCACACTCGGCCTCTTTCTCACCCGGGTGCGTGTCACCCTCTACGACGGCGGTTCTCGTCGAGGAGGAGAAAGAGAGGTACGTGCGAGTCGACTCACTTGACTGAACTCGGACGAGCGCCGTCCGGAAGCTAGGGCACGTTTTCCGGACGAGCCGGTGGTGGGAAATGCGGTATGGGTTTTGGTGGGTACTCCTCGCGTTGTTTCTTTGGCTCGACCGGGTCCAGGGTGCCCCTCTTCCTGCCCCCACCCCGCGGCCAACGGCCGGCCGGACCGCCGCCGCTGGCTGCTGCTAGCTGCTGCTGGTCCCCGTGGTGCTCTCGCGGAGCTCCAAAGGTGGTGGTAGATGATCGCGTCCCCTCCACGTGGGCCCTCCTGGTACCGTGTCGACGTCACGAGGTCTACCGTGCCTCTATTGGCCGGGGCGGAGCGTACGCGCAGGTAAACGAAGACAGGTGCACGTGGCGGGAGAGAGGAAGAGGAAGAGAACGAGGGGGAGAGAGAGGGAGAGAACGATCGCGAGAGAAAGGAAGAGAAAGAGGCTCGAGGAGGAAGATCTTCTAGCTTTCTCTTCCTTCGATTAGATGCGATCGGCCTCTCATTCTCTCCTTCTCCTCCTCTTGTCCACTTTTCTGTCTCTTCACCCTTTCGCGAGCCGTTTCGTCGTACGTACGTCTGTCCATCCGTCCGTCTCTCCTTCTTCGATCTATCTTTTGCTCCTCGCGCAGACGTCTCTCGTCTGCTCCGCTATCGCCACGATCGGAGCGCGCTTCTTCTTCGTCGCCTCGCCGTCGTCTCACCTCGTTACTCCGCTCCTCTCTTCATCGCGGCTGCATCGCCCCCCCCCCTCTCCCGCGACGTAGACCTTCCTGCGCGCCAGACCCGTGCAGAACTCGCCGCGGAGACTCTCTCAATGACTTTCTACCCCCGAGGCGCGCATCGACACCCCCGCGATGGAAGTAAACGAGCCGGGATGACCTTGACGGATGCTGCGAGCCCTGCAGGGCTTCGTTCTCCGCCCTCCTCCTCTTGTCCTTCTTCTTCCTCCTCAGCTTCTCCCTCCTCACTCGTTCAGCTCCCCCTGTCCCTTCGATGCTTCTACCGCGAGTACTCGTGGCTCAATTCCACCTTGCGGTACGCGCACCTTGAGAAACTCCAGGCGATCAGACTCCGGATTTCAGGTGACTCGCGCTCCCGGCGGCTCTCGTGTCGATCATCGCGACCGAGCGGTGATGCGCCACGTAAACGATCGGTATTCAGCAACTGTCAATTGCAGCGAGCAGCACCGTTCACCGATACGTCTGTTAATGGAAGGACGCGCGTGTGTATCTCTCCGATACACCAGGCTACACCTGTTTATCTCATCGGACACGTCGACGCTTCATGTGGGACGCCAAGGGGAAAAGATTCACAAATGAAGCGCGCCGAAGCCGGTCACAGGTTAATCGATCGCGGTCGATGGCGCGTGCGCGCTTTGCCATCGTCGATCATCGTGTCGCTTTCGATCCGTTCGCACGTGCGAAAAATGCGATTGGTATTTGCGCGTCATCGAGCGCCGATCGACGATTGAGTGACGGAATGTGCCGCACGGGTGAGACCGAGCGCGGTTACACCGCGACTGATATGAAAGTCCAAGTTTACCACGCAGGGGGAGGGGAGGCGAAGGGCGGAGGTGCGGGGTACAAGGCAAGGAGAGAGAGAGAGAGAGAGCGCCCGGTTCACTGATAATAAACATCTTTCTCGAACGCGGCTGATCATTGGCCCGAACGAATTTACACAGAGTCGAGACCGCGCATTCCGGCGATAGCTTGTGATCGCGTCGCGATCGGGAAAAGTGCCTCTCGCTTGTGTCGAGAGAGAGAGAGAGAGAGATAGCATCGACGAGCGATTGTGTCGCGGTTTGTTCTCACTGTGAATCGTCACGGTGCTACTGAATGCGTTCGAGTAGTTCGCTACCGCGTTACCAACGTTATCAACTCTGTTCACGGAGTCAAGATAGTACTGGTGAATGCGAGCTCCATGAACATCAACAGCGCGGCGTTAGCATAGCAGGTGTTCTTCGGAGACGCTTGTGATAATTGTCAAAAGAAATTTGAAGACCAAATAAAGCGTTATGCACCTTTCCGCGCGTATATCTCTCGCGATCATATAAACGATGGGAATAATAACAATCGAATAGAATCGCGATTGGAATTATAGCACGTGTATAATTTAAGCCGAGTCGAAATTTTAAATTCTATGTTAAGTCTTGAAGTAGAGGAAAACACAATAACTTCCCTATTCCTAGCACCAAAGGAGCACAATAGGTCTTTATTTAATACTTAATGTAGGACCAAATTAGATTTAAAGTAAGACTAAAATTTCGACTCGGGAATACTTACAACTTATCGGTTTGTGATTAAGAGCATCGGCCGCAGAAAGTTTGATTAGATATTTCTACTGGCTGTTAATATCGTACAAATTTACTTCGACATAATCTCTCAAGATTAAATAAAAAATATCTTAGATTTATAATAAACCAAGCACAGTGCAAATTCTATGATACACACAGTTGCCGTATATTCACTCACTGTTGCTACCGATAACGTTCACGAAGATTAAAAAAATGCTAACGCTATCAACATTATTAACACGCCATTTCGGAAGTGGCAGCGTTGGTAACGCGAACTTATGATGCCGTCATGATGGCGTTGGTAGCACTATCGACATAGCTCTTCAAACAGCGATAGCGTTACGTAGAGCTAACAAGCTCCTCGAATGCATCCACTGTATTTCGACGGATGCATAATTTAAAAGGATCCTGCACTCCTTCTGTTTTACAATACGAACAATAAGAAGTTTTCTAATTTGCTAACTTTTTTCTGTCTTTCGAATAAAGTCAACCGTCCTCCTCTACATTAACACGTGTACTCTAATTGGGCAAAATGATGCTTAACCGTGTTCAACTAGTAACGAGTATAGTTAGCTAACAAATTTGTGATAAAACAGGACGATTCCAGGATCCTCCTACGGCTCGATTAGTGCGATATTGTCCGGAGAATAGTTCACAAGCGGCAGCCGCGTCCAGGTGGTCCATCCCGGAAGCTGATGGAACCTTTGCCGGGGAGAGCTCGAGTTATTAATCCATACACGAACTCCGGAGTTTAGCGCGTTTATTTATTTATCTAAGGTTTATCTAAGATCAAAAGGGTTCTCTTCTCGATATTATCCGACGAGGGGATTAACAGCGTTGCCTTTTCGGAAATGAGAGTCAAACAAACTCGCTGACGGCTGCCGCCCCGGCGGCTTGACGACCGGGCGCAAATCTCTTTGGGCGAATCTCTCCGGAGTACGTGACACGGTTTCGAGCCGGCGGACTTTTCCGGGGACCACAATGGTCGCATTACCGCATTCGCCCTACGCGGAAAGAGGCAGAATTACGGCTCAATGAAAGTACGAAACGTCGCTCGTTAACGGAGCCGATGCCAGAAATCGCCGGGACTCTTGCCGGGGCAGTAAAAGGCAACGAGTATTCGCGCGGGCTGTAAACATCCGCGCGCGGGAACGCTTACTCCGGAACATTTCATAATCCTGTTACGAGGCACTTTGGACTTTCGCGCGGCGCGGCTGCGGTGGCGCGAATCGGAAATAAAATTCCGCTACGTCGAGGTGCAAGTAACGGCGGTCGCCGACGGTAATGTCGCGTCGAATCGTGAGAAAATGTAAAGGAGGAGGATTGTTCCGGAGCTTCGGCGGCGGGACATCCCGCGCGATTAAAATTCCTGCTGTCGACCCGCTCGAGCCCGGCCGACCGACCGATCTAACAATAATAACAGAAACACAGCGCACTATTGATATTCTTATTATTATTTTTTCTTTTCGACGCGCCGCCAAACGTACGCACACATTCTCCGGTATTAGTTTACCGACTTCTATTGTATACGATTTTGTTCCCTCATAGTTGCGCCTCGGACATGCGACTAAGCTAGGGTAAGGCACTTTAATCTCAACACACGCTCCGCGCTGACACAAGTCTAACCTACTTTAACCCGAGAATAATCGTCTGAGGTTATTTCGACTCCAATTGAAAGTCGCTGTTATTAACAAAATCTAACATATTATCGATAGCCGTGTGACTTATTATTATTTAGGGACGTTATTAATATAGATTTATTCGCTGCTTTGTGAAAAGGTGAGAAACCGAAAAGATATTGAAAAAAAACGGAATAAGCATATCCAGTGTTGATGACAGTTTATACGAACAAAAACAAAAGATAAGGCGACTATTCTCGAGTGAACGGTGCGCGCGACCGGTTGAACGTTAAAATTTGGTTAAATCGAAT